CTGCAGGCATAGGAAAAAGGTTTCAATTCCACCTTACACTTATAAAAAACAAATGAGCCCAATGTCCTTGAAAGCCCCTATTCACTCACAGTTAAATGTTACCAAGACTTATTTATAATTCACATTTTTAGGCTGCAAGGCACTATTTTGTAAATTCATGCTCCACTGTTAATGGCTAATAAGATACTAGTGGTATTTCTTTTAAATGTTTTTTTCAGGTAATGGAACCAAACAGCAGAGTAGTTCTTAGCTAAAAACCTGCTGCTTTTGCAACTGGACAATGTTATCAAGGTCTGGAAGGGCACTAGATGAGACCTTGATGGCTTGAAAAACAACTCAATTCTCTGAAAAATAAAATTGTGAAGCAGGCTGGTACTCCTCAGGTCAATTTGGTGCTTCCTGTAACTTCAAGATATCCCCCTAAAATGAAGGTACAGAATGCTCTCAGACAGTTGAAACAAAATATAAAAACACTATTATCCTATAAAAATTCTTTTATTTTTTTGGTACCAGGGATTGAACACCAGGGCACTTAACCACGAGCCAATCCCCAGCACTTTTTCTATTTTATTTTGAGACAGGGTCTCACTAAGTTGCTTAGGGCCTCACTAAGTCACTGAGGTTGGCTTTGAACTTGCCATCCACTTGCTTCAGCCTCAGGAGCCATTAGGATTACAGGCATGTGCCACTGCGCCTGGCTCAGAATTCTTAAGCAGCGTAAAAAATCACCATGAATCTGTCATAAATTAGTCTGAGATAACCAGAGTAGGAGGTGTAATATCTTCAGCACCCTATTCCAACCCAAGTACTGGGAATTGAACCCAGAGGGCTTACACATGTTGGCAAGTGCTATACTACTGAGCTGCATCCTCAGTCCTTTTTATATTTTGTTTTGAGACAGGATCTAATGAAGTTGCTCATGCTGGCCTTGAACTTCCAATTCTTCTGCCTCTGCCTCCTGAGCAGTTGGGATGATGGGTGCCGGTTACTGGAGCCCCCATTCTCACACACTAACTCTGTGATACATAATGAAAGACGTTGTAAATCTAAATCTAAGTTAAGTAATGGAAATTCTTGCTGAACTGAGTGGAAGTTGAGGAGGTTATCTATGTCTTTTCTCACTACTGATGAACTTGTTCACCTTAGCTGAGTTGAATCAAGTCCTGGAACTTAAGTTATTAATTATAATTTATCACTGGCCAACACCTGAGTATGGTCTGCACTTTCTAATTGGCCAGAAGTCATGTGCTTTTCCTAAAGCTGATAAATGACTCCATTCAGTGTAGAGTCACTGTCCTTCCAAGAATATACAGGTACTGATTACTAACCTAATCAGATCCACATGATTACCCATAAATAGCAAAGGACAAGCAGGGCCTCCTACACAGTCTCGTGTGACCAAAGGGGGTGGCTGTAGCCTTTATTTGGAACCTGTAATATCTCTCTCTCTCTCTCTCTCTCTCTCTCAGTATCCTAAAAAAGTCCATCTGACCCCAAGAAAGCTAAATTCTCAAGATGAACCATGGACTTTAGCTCTTTCTATGTGCCCTTGTGAGCCAAGTTCCTGCTCAGGATACACAAAGGGCTCACCCTGGCTGGGATGGCAGTCATTGATAGGATCCAGCAAGAGTAGGGTGTAGGAGAAGGGTCTGTCCCTGGTGGAAGACAGTACCATCATTAAGGGTTCAGAATTTATAACCATCTGAGTGTCGAGTGTTTCTCATTCTGCTCTACTGAGCTCTAGGCCAAGATAAAGGATAGAAAGATGACGCTAGTATAGGATGATGCCTGTGTCCATAAGTATTCCTGTTTCTAGTGAGAATTCAAGGTTCATTCTCATTGTCACATGGAGCAGAGGGTCATGTCCTCATGTGTGAAGACTCCTCCTGTGCAAGCCACATCTTGGTGTGCCTTCGGATGCCTGGGCCTCACTGAGCTGAGTTCTGATTGCATTCATGATAGAATCTCCATTAAATGCCACAAAAGAAGAGCCACAAAGGAGGTCTCACAGCTCAGAGCTGAGTACCTGCTTTCCTTGGTCTTGTTCAAAAATCCCTAAACGTCCAGAGTAGAAGACCACAGGCATGGTAGCACAGGCCTGTAATCCCAGCTATTTGGGAGGAGGAGGAGGGAGGAGGATCACAAGTTCAAGGCCAGCCTGGGCAACTTAGCAGGACCGTGGCTCAAAATAAAAAATAAAAAGGGCTGGGGGATAGCTGTGGTACAGTGCTTTCTAGTATGTGTGGGGCCCTGGGTTCAATCCTCAGTACTGAGATTAAACAAACCAACAAAAAAGACCACAGAAGAATTGGCCTGGTAAAGAACAGGGAAAGCACCAAAGACAGTTTGTCACTGCAGAGGCAGGACACAGGCAGTGACTTGGTGCTTAGACTCTGCAGTCCAATCCCCTGGACTTGAAACCTGGTTTCTTCTTGAGCTGGGTGACCTTTAGCAAGTTATTAACCTCTCTAAGACTCAGCCGCGTTATCTTTAGACTGGGGATTATCGTGAGGATTAAATGAGACAATTCATGTAACATACGGACCCGAGTGCCTGTCACGTGGTCAGCGCTTCATAATCATTAGAAATGACTATTCTAGTTAACTCAATAAATAAACATATGAAGCGCAAAACAAATCACATCATGTGTGAGGGGAAGAAAATCTAAAAAATAAAAACAGAACGAAACAATGTGCCCTCTGAAAAGAGACTGCAGCCATCGAGAGGATGTAAGTTCAAGAGTGTGTGTTAAAATTAAAAAGGAAAAAGAAGGGAATTTGTATAACTGCGTGCATCCTTGAGAATCTTAAATGCTTTAAGGGATGATTGGGAGAACTTTCTAGGGTTGCATGATAAGGTCCTACAGCCTGAAACTAATGTGTGAAGTAGCCAGAGAGGAGAATCAAAGGACAAGGTTTCTGAGCTGAGCTGCTCTAGTCAGTGGGGCCTGGGAAATGCACTTGAAGGGAAGGAGCCCCACCAGGAAAGCAGCAGGAAAGGCAGGGTTTGGTCCTAAGTCTGAAGGAGGAGGCCTTGTCTAAACAGCAGAGGTCCTGGTCCTTGAGTGGCCTGAGAGATTGAAGGAATGGTGTGGCCCTAGGCTGGGGGGCCAGGACAAGAAATCACAAATGGCCTGGGAGGGCTGAAAGACAAAACCTGAGGATATCTACGAGTGCCTGAGAATTTCCACTTATGCCTGGGAGGTAACCAGAGGTCATGCAGATGCCTCCCATTTCTGTACCATCCACGTCACCTCTGAGACCTGCCTCATGCCCACGCCTTACTTCACCCTGCTCCCACCTGCTCCTTGGAGGGTGTCTGTCCCACAGCACCACAGTGCCTCTCTGTCTTTGGCATCATAAATCTTGGAACACCAGATAACAGATGCACTTCAAACACGACATGTGCTAGCATTCTTTACACCAACAATATAAACTTAGATTGCAAAGGGCTTTATTTGCCTATTGCAAAGAAACTGGCTCCTTGCCAAAGCCTCAAGGTCCAGTTTTAAGGATCACAGTTCAAGGCTCTGATTACACAGCTACACTTGAAAGGCCTGCACTGGGACCAGGGACCGCAGGGTGTAAATCCTTGCTTTCACTTCCCAGCCCTGTGATATGGTACCAGTTACTTCCCCTCCCTAAATCTCAGTTTCCTCTTTGTTAAATGAGAACTATATGAACTTTACACACAGATAATGAACATGTGCAAAATGATATGAGATACGGGATATAAGCAAAGCATCCTGCCTGATAACTGGCACACAGAAATCACTCAATAATTGCAGCTGTTGGGTATTATTGTTGCTGGTCTGAAACTAATATTCCAGGGACATAATGAGGTTGATGGGATTTACTGCAAAGTAGAACTGAGGCCCTCGCTGATTTAAACAAGGGAGGCCGGACCTTGATGTACCATTTAAAAAGTAATCTGCTCTTGGTGTCTGCAATTCACCACCCTCTAACTCCACAGTGGCCACCTGACAAAACAAGTAGACCATTGTAAACCTATTAATGAGGAGGAAGCTGGTGTTTGGGAGACCTGTGAAATTACTTCCCAATTACTGTGCAGTTACTGAACCTTTCATTTGCAGCCCAATTTCCCCGGTAGCTCAGCACTCTGTTTCATAATTGTCCAAAGGCTTTGATTTATCTTGGAGAGGATGGGGGTCTTGGAGATGTGGGAAAGCTTCTGGGAAGGAGACCTGAATAAAGGTCTGTGTGAACCACAAGGTTCAGAGCCTCGCTGGGGACCTGCCATGCAAGAGACTGTGGCCGGCAGTGTGGTTTACCATGCAGCTGACAGTAGCATCTGCTGCTGAAGGTGGGCCTTGCCTACCAGCTAAAGAACAGGCCCTGAAGGAGGGTGTGGGGAAGGACTCACGAAATGTTGTTCCCAGGGTTAACAGGAGAACCAATAGGCAGGCGCTGCTTTTCCACACTCGGCATCTCACTTATTTGCCTATTCTCTGTGGTTTAGTTAACACCTGTATCCCACCTCTTGATCATACTTATATAACTCATCCATTCCATAAATATTAATGAGGCACCTACTGTGTGCTGGGCACGGTTCTATAGGCACATTAGGGAATGAGGGAATAAGAGATCAAGTCTGTGGAGTTTACATTCTAGCAGGAAGGTAGAGACTTACACAGAGCATGTCTGAAGGTGGTCAGAGTGAGGTAAACAGGGATGGGAATAGAACATGCCACAGGGAGTGAGGTGCAATTTAAGTAAGGTGGTCAAGGAAGGCCTCACCAGGAACGTGATACCGAGCAAGACTTGAATGGGTGGAGGCCTTCACCCACATGTCTACAGTGACCACAACATCCGTCTTCTGGGTCTGAGAGCACTCAGGCCTCACCCCCCTTTGCAGTCAAGGTGTGTGTGCACCAACCAGGCAGTGGCCCCAGCCTCAAGGGTGAGATCTGGGCTCTCTGTGGAAGCCCGGGGAGTGGCCATGGCTGGGAGAGGGTGCAGGGTGGCCTTCAGCATGCTCACCTCCTCCAGCCGCCGGCGCTGCTCCTTCTGCTCCTCAATGCGCTTCTGGCGCTCTGCCAGCAGCTGCCGCTTGTGCTCCTCGTTCTCCCGCTGCTGCTGCTCCAGCTGCTGTCGCCGCAAGGCCTCTGAACGCTCCTTGTTGGCCAGTTGGAGTCTCAGGAAGTCCCGTCGCAGTGTGGACTCCCCTGGCAGGTTCAGAATGGAGCTGTGGGCAGGAAAGAGTCATCAGGATTCTGCCTTGGGCAGGGGCCATGGCTACTGTCGGTCCTGGGGGAGGGCAGCAGGGCCAGAGCACAGGCTCCTAGTTTCTCCAATAGTTCAATCATCTACCTCCAAAATGGGGGTCTGGGGAGGAGAGGCATGTTTAGCCTTCTTGCAGTGGGACTGGTACATATATTCGCCATCTCCATCCCCAGAGGGATGTCACATTCCTCCAGGACTGTTGACACCACTCCCTCACTGTGAGGTGTAGCAGAGATTTGTTTAAGACTAGTGAGTGTGCAAGCCCTGGGCCCCAGGCTGGCTGTCTCCATGTTATGAGAAGACAAAGCAAAGAAAAGTGAACCTTCTGGAGCAGACAGGGGAACCAACCACTCACTTGGACAAGCACGGATCACCCTCACTCATACCACTACCCCCCCACTCACACCAAACCCCAGGAGGCGGAGGTCAGGCTGCTCCTGTGAAGACTCAGTCAGGGACGGAAAAGGCTGGAGGCCATGTCAACACAGAGCCAGGATGGGACTCAAGTTTGCTAAAGTCTAAGGAGTTTGGAGCTCGATCTAGTAGTTAAGAGACTTGGTTCTGTCGGCAGAGTGTGCAGCTGGAGTCGCAACCCAGATCACTGACTCCTAGATTCTGTTTCAGCAAAAGTTTCCTCATCCATAAGAAGGTGGTTTGCGTGTGTTTGCACGTGCACAGAGCAGAGAGAGCAAGAGGACGAACTCACGCATTTGGCTGGTTTGCTGGTAGTCTGGGTCTGCTCTACCCCAGTCTAACTGCAAGGGAGCAGCTAACAGTTCTAGCCTCCCTGGTTCTGCATCGCAGCCTAGCAGAAAGGTGGAAAATGGCTTTTGTTTTTTTCATACTTAGCCCTTTAAATCTTTCTGGAAGCTTCCACCTGAAATAAACTCATTAAACATATTTACTAGCACGTGCTATGTGACAGGCACTACTATAATAGGCTCTATGGAATCACAATGAAGGGAAAGAGTGTTCCAAGTAGAACAAAAGCAAGTTTAGAGCCCAGGTTAGGACAGGTGTGGCCTTTCCCAGGAACTGAACACCAGCCGGTTCTCTCAGAACTGAGGAAGCGAGAGGATTACGGCACGAGGACGTAGAGAAGCAGATTGTGCAAAAGCATGTAGACCATTGAGCCATGCACGGAAAGGCTTTGAGGAGAGGAGTCCCAGGAGCAGGCCTGTATGGCTGCAGCGTGGATCACAGTATGTGAAGCTAACAGCAAGACTACTCCTGCAATGGTTCTGCTTAGGGGCTCCAACCAGGACAGGAGCAGTAGGGATGGAGGCTGGAAGAGTGTTTGGGGATAGAGTTATGGAGACCCCAGACAGGCCTGATGTGTGGAGGGAGGGATGACTTGCAGGTTTTGTCTCGGCAGCTGGTGGTGGTGGTGAGGAGGACTGGAATGAGGAATGTAGTTTTGGTTGCAGCTGACAAGAGGATTAAGGTTTGGTTTAGGAGAGTTGTTAGCATGCTGTGTGAGATCCTGCCATAAATGTCATAAAAAGGCTTTGTTTGTGATATTGCGCAGACAATCCCACAGTCCATTAACAAGCCTCCAATAAAACTTACTGCCTTTGTGTAAAACTCTAAGACAAACCCCTAAACGATAGTGCTTTTGTGCACAGGCCACTTGCTCTGTGCAGTGGGGATGGGGCTTAGGAATCTCACCTCACGTGTACGGGAGGATGCCCCATTAATATTAATCAATGTTGAATCAATGTCAGGAGACCTGAGCTGCATTAGTGACTCAATTATTAACTCCGCGTGTGACCCGATTGCCACCCTTGAGCTGTCGCTTCATTTCTAAAATGAGATAACCATTGCCTTTTCTATTTCTTAGGATTTCATGAAGATTAATTAGATGCATCCATAAAAACAGGACTTGGCACACCATCTTCCACAGGGTACCAAATAATGACATGTTAAAATGATTGCTGGTTGGATCACTAAGTGCCTCCTAACGCACAGCTTAGCAAGTACTGGAGAGACAGGGTTTCTCAGTTCTTCAGAGAATGGTCAGAGGGCTGATATGACCATCTGGGTAAGCTTTCAAAAAATAGCATAGCATTTCTCAGAAAGCAGGGCATTTGGACCTTTGCCTTAGAGGAATGTTCGTTTTCCACGTCACTGCTTGACAGTCCTCATTTTTATGTAGCTATAGTGGGGGTGGCCGACATGCTATGTATCAGATGGAAGGAAACAATTCTCCTTCCGTGTTGGACCTTGAGAAATCCTATGGCAGGTGAAGAGAGAAAAACTGATGGCCCTGTGTGTTCAGTCTCGCCCTTTTAGCAAGGCTCCTGGGCCGCAGGTCTGAGCTAGCTCAAGAGAACACAGACATCCAGCTCATTCCAGTTGCAACAGCCCTGCTCCTGGTCAGGAGGCTTGGTGTCAGCAATATAAGAATTGGTCCTTTGAATGCATCCACTCCTTGGATAGCTATAGTTTGGAGACCCCCTACATCCGGTGGCCCTCTGTGTGGGCCAATAGAGCTTACTTCGCATTTATAGTGCATAGCCCTCTGGTATGCATGGCTCTTGCCTCGCTGAGCTTCTGCCAGCTGAATTCTCTTACGAAAGAGAAATCCTGGCAGTGCCAGCCCCCGAGTCTTAATTATTTATAAACACAGACTGGAAGAAAGTTGGAAGCAAAGTCAAGTGGAATGCACAACGTAGGGATGACGACAGCGAAGGTGAAGCAGCACTTGACTCCCGGCCTGACCTGTGACAATGAGACTGGCATGGAAGCTTCCACTCGGGGCTCACCTCCAGAGTGTAATTTGATTTCTTGGAAATCATTTCCTCTTGGATTAGGCTGCAGTGAGCATGCTGAGGCATATGACAAGGACAGCGGCCTTCTCAAAAGTACAAGGTAATGAGCTGAATAACTCAAGTCTGATAATATCATTTAGGTCTCCCCAAAGTCCCGGTTTTAAGTACTTTTCGTTCTGCATTACCCAGATAAATACCCACTTTACATGATGCATATGTGAGGAAACAAGATCTTGAATAGAGACCATAAATCTTGGGGGACAAGATAAAGAATATGCTGATTTCCACATTTTCTTCAGAGTCTGCCTAAGGAAACTTCCCCAAATTAATGAGCTATGTTTGTAGGCAATAAATTAAATAAGACCACCTTGGTGGATTCTTAAAAATGAACCTATAAATCAAAAGGAAAGTGAATGCACACAAACACAATTCAGAATGTGGAAATCAGAAGGCCTGGCTTCCGAGTTCATACCTGGGTTCTCCCGAATCGTTCTCCTCTTCTTCCTCCTCACTGCCGCTGTACTCATACTCTGTCTCATCTAAAGAGAGATTCATAGTGCATCAGTGCACAGGATGGTGACAGCCAAGTGAACCCACCCCTATTCATGTCCAGTCATAACTCACATCATGCCACCTTGGTCGCCAACAGACCATGTACACAACAGCAGTCCTGTAAAATTATAATGAAACTGAAAATATCATGCTACCCAGTGACATGGGAGCTGTCCTAACTTCATAGCACAAGCATGTCTCACCTGTTGGTGGTGATGCTGATGCCAACAAGCCCACTGCCCTGCCAGTCGTATAGAAGTACAGCCCACCCAGTGACCTCCAGTGCACACACTTGATCATTATAACAAACAACTATGGTACTGGTTGATGTATTCAGCCTACTATGCTTTTTATCATTATTTTAGAGTATTCTCCTGACACTCGTTGAAAAAAAAAAAAAAACATTTCCCATAAAGCAGTATGCCAGGTTGGGGGTGTAGCTCAGTGGTAGAGCACTTGTCTACCATTTGATCCCCAGCACTGCAACAAACAAACAAAAAGCCCAAAACAAATAAAAAAACAACATATGCTGTGTAATGCTGGCAGTAGCCTCAGACATCTCCTGTGTTTGTTGCATCTCTTGACTACATCAAGAGAACATGTCCAGTGACTGACCTATGTCACCTGGTCTATATAAGTATACTGGATGATATTCGCTGAATGATGACATCGTTTAATGACAACTCTCAGAAATACATCTTGTCATCACTTGATGTGTGACTGTATAAGTAAATTGAGGCCCACAGAGTTGTGGCTAACATAGGACTAGGGTGTCCTCTAGGCCTCCTGACTTGTCATACAGCAGTTCCCACCAACTGGATTTAGGTACCTGGCATTAATTGCCATCAAGACTGTCCCAGCTGACCTTAAATAGCGGTCCCCAGTGACTAACATTCACATGAAAAAGAAACTAAGGAATTGAAAAATAACTTCTGTGTAACCTCTGTTGTAGAGTCACCATATCAAACTTTTGGGCCCACTATTAACTTATCACTAAATGATTTATCGTGGTATCAGCCATTTTGAAAGTGGTATTTTGTTTATGACTTACATGGATTCACTAATTGCCTTTAGATATCTTGATAAATACCAGAAAGAAACTTTTGACAACTGGTACAATTAACATGTAGTCAGAATGTGTTTTGATTGACAGTAAGCAAGTTAACATGAATAAGATTGAGTTTGTGCTCCAGAGGATATCAGAATGTAACAGGCAAAACAAATCAATAATCAGAACTACCATGACCACGAAGAAAGGGAATGAATATTTGTCAAGTGTCAGGGGCCACCCTGTTCAGGAGCTAGGCACACACCTTTAAGTCCTGAGTAAAGAGGTACTGGACTGGTATTGCACACTGCAATGCAACTGGACTTTACCTCTGCTCAGATAAAAAAGGCACAGCTCCAGGAGTGGGCGTTACCCAATGGGGTTGAATTACACGTACCTGTTTTATTGTAATCCTACCCTTCTGCCCTTTTTTGGATAGAATGTTCCATGGATTAGTCTCCCCCGCCCCCGCCATTAATAAAACCCAGGTTCGAGGCGTGCTCCCTCTTTTTCTTGCCTACCTTGCTTCCTTGGTGGAAGCTGGGTCAGAGGGGCCGTCACAGAACCCAAAGACAAAGGTATTTCTCAGTCTGTGTGTCATTATTTCATGCCAGCCCAGTTCTCCTGGAGTGACCTTGACCCGTTTAGTCGTGTGTCATGGCGGTTGAGTGTTTCCCATGCAAACAACTAGTGTGAGTTTACCTGCAGACTCTCGTTTATTTCTCTAACATAAAGCCTATTTTCCAACTGAAGCTACTCATATTACAAAAGGTGAAGTGCTGTGGGCAGTGTCATCACCTTATAATAAAATGTCAGGCTGGGATGTGGATTTAGAATTCAATCCAGAACTTTTTCAACCTTAAAACCAGAGCTTTTTTCCAACATGTTATATGCTAAACAGAAGTTCATAAAAAGAGCAATGAAAAAATGAAAGAAAAGAGCAGCTCATTCCACAGCTCAGAAAGGAGGAAAGGAACAGTGAAGTACAGAAGTGGGAATGAGCTAGGCCTTGGAAGGTCAGTGGCCCTTCTCCAGCACTGGTAGCTGGAAGTGGCAGGAAAAGGGCATTCCAAGATGTTTATCCACGTAAACAAGGCTAGCGGTATTACATGTGCAAGAAACCATGAGTTGTGCGTAGCTAGGCGTCCAGGTGTGGGAGAAGTAGACGGAGGGAGAGAGGACAGAAGGGGGTGAAATGGTGAAATAGCTCACTAATCCTTATATATGTCAGGCTGGAGATATATCTGTGGGTGATGAGGAGGCTTTAACGATGGAACATTACTGTTATCTCCTCCTAGATCTGAGTTTGTAATTACAACTTCAAAGACATTTTGGCACCCCTACAAGGGAACTAAAATGGCAATTTGGTTTTGTTACCACTAGGAGGCAGCATTCACAGGGTAAAAACAGGTTACAACTTTGACACTACGCAGGCAGCAAAGAGATAATGAAAAAAACTCATGTGTGATGAGTTCAACTGTATTTTTTAAAATCACAAATTAGCTTCATACCTTTAGGTTAAGTATGAAGTTTTCAGGCTACTTTTTATTTTTACAGGTTTTTTTTTTCACCTAAATGTAAAACCCTGCATAAAGTGTCTTAATACGCCATATCAAAAGTTTAATACTTCAAACTTTTCTAAAATGGATAAACATAGAGTTCAAAGTAAAATGAAGACATTTTATCTAATAAAGTAAATTGCAGCAAGGGAAAGAAGCGCACAATTATTCCTAATTGTGTAATTCCACTCTCTAAGGTAAAAGCTTCATTTGTCAGGCTTCTCAATTTTAATACCTCACCAGAATTTGGTTTGATTGCTTTTGTACTTCTGGGTTAAATTAGTACATGTCAACATACCTTAAGGAAAAGTATCAGATTAAAATAAATCATAAAGCAATGCAAATTAAAATTGCTTGATTCTACCAGAAGCTGGTCACAGAGGAGGCTACTGGGGGGGAAAAGTTACGAGGGGGAGCAAATTAAGTGATTTGATTAACTGCAAATGGAAGGAGATTTCAGTTGACCAAATGCCCTTCCTTGCAGAGCAGACAAAGATGAGGATGTAACTCTGGGACCCTAAACCTAAACAGGATGAGATTCCTTAAATTGCAACGTAACTCTTGAATAGACCTACTGCCACTCTACAGAATAAACACATTAAAAGTAGATCTATCTTCATTGTATGATGGGTTCTGGGTTTCACAGATCATGATTTCTAGAAGGTATCCCTGAAGAGCACTGAAAAATTAGGCTCATAAAGAATTGCCTAAATAAGAATAGCTAATAAATAGCTACCGAATGCACCTATGTGCCAGAAATGGTGTAACTATTTTACACACATTATTTCAACTTTGCAACAAGGCCAGGCATTAGGTATTATTATTATTTTTATACTCCCAATCCTATTTTGGAGATGAGAAAACTGGGATGAAATTCACATAACTCATAAGAGGCAGGGCTGGAACTGGAACACAGAATTTGATTCTCAAAACAGACTGAACATTTCACCTAGTCTGTATACCCATAGTACAATCAAATTTCCCTTTTAGAGAAGTTGGCATTTAATGTTTAGATGTTTGATATGTTGCCCTAAAACATTCTCTTTTAAGTTTTGACTTCAGGGAGTGGTCCCCAAGACCACGACGGAAAAAGAGCAGCTGAAATGTCAGTCTTAGAACTTCTCGATACTGCCCTATGGGGTTTCTCCTCAGGCCTAGTTCCTCCAGCTTGGTCTGGCCTCCCTGTTTCTTGCAGCCTCATTGACATCTTATCCCTATCCCCCCACTCATGGCTGGAGATGGTCCTCTTTTTTATCTCAGCCTCATGACCTCCCACTCCTGATCACATACTTTCCTTCGAGTCCCTGAGGCTGGCTGTAGAAGGGGGGCCTTCTCCAGAACCTTCACTGAGGATTTTTCCTCCTACCTTGGTCCTCTGCTGATCTTCCCTCTCCATCCATCTACTGGTGCCCCTTCCCTAAGCCTCAGCTCACACACCTCGCTGCATAGAGGTTGCTAATTATAGAGGCAAAAAGGGAGAAAAATGGAAATAAAGGAGGGAAACTTCTGTCCTACCTGTCTGCCACCCTCCAGGGATCCCTCTGAACTGAAAAAAAGAGGAGTGGGTGGAGAAGAGGGAAGCAAGGAAGAGCACATGACCAGTGCCTCCCCACCCCGTGAGCCTCTGGTCTTCTGCTCTAAGCTCCACCCTCACCCCTCCAGCCCACACTGCCTCCTGCTGTCCTCTCCCTGCCCACTATCCTTCCTGATCTCCATCCAGCAAGTCTTTGCTACTATCTTCTCCATCTCTGTCTTCCACACCCCAACCTTCCCTATCTCCCTAAACTATGCTCATCTGGCCATAAAAACCTGCCCCAGGTCACGTGATCCAAGTGGTCAGGGTCAAGTGAAGGAGGGGCAAGCTTTCAAACAATGAGGGTGAACTACTAGAGCTCCCCGTTGGGACACATGTCCTTTCCAAAGAGGCACTGAAAACACTGCGTGGTATGAGAGAGGAGTTTTTGCATCTATGAAATAAAGAAGTGCCTCAAATGACCTTCAGCTCAAACTCTGATGTTCCATATAGCAAGTCTGGCAACCTAATGATCTTTGATATCACTGCAGCTCTGAGAAAATTCTTTCTGACTTCTAAATAACTGAATTAGAAATGAGCCTCAGAGCACAGAAACTTAAATGCTGAAGACTGTCAGTACAGAAAAATGTCAACTGGATGAATTTTGGTTTTTTTTCAGGTTGTCTGTCTTCTGTAGATTTTTAGTCTTCTGAGCATGAATATTCATTTGAATTAAGAAAATCACTTGTCATTTTAAAGTGCTTCATAGTATCACGCAACACAAGTTTGCTCAGTGCCTGGAAGAGGGGATGTTTCACACAGATCTATTTTTTTCATGGAAGATTCTACTTCAGCAGTGGATTTCACTCCACTGATGTCCTAAGACTTCCATCTCAATGGTGGTCCCCAGCACTAAGAGAGCAGCGCATCTAAAATCTCTAGTCACCTCTGAATTCGCCAAGAGCCCATGGTTCACACTCCATCTTTTGTTTCTCTTGCTCAAATGCAAATGTGCATCTAACCTTTTTCTCCGCGCTTCTTCTTGGTTCTATCAATATGGTCCTTGAGCTGGATGCGGACCTGTCGCTCATTTGGCTGGTCTCGTATAAACGGGTGCTTCATCAGCTGTTCTGTTGCAGGTCGCTGGCTGTGATTCTTTACCAAGCAGCTCTCAATAAATGACTGGAATTTTTTTGACCTGTCAAACAAAAGAGATGAATCCGCAGATAAAATGACAATCTCCAAAAAACCAAATATATATATTTTTGAAATGCTGGAATTAAAAAATAAAAGGCTCCATCTATCGGTCAGCATAAATATCAACCAATCACAAAATAGGTCTAGCACTGTATTAGGTACAATGGGGGTCAAAGGCATCGTCACCATCAACACACAGAACTGAGGTAACATATGGTAGTTAGCACATGAAAGCATCTGCACAGTGTATACATAACATTACACAGAAGACCAAAAGGAATTAGGGAAGAAAAAGGTCTCCCTGGGGACCCTTGCTGGAATGGCTATTGGAATAAGGAAACCAAAGTGGGGCCTTAAAGAATGAGGAGAAAATTCACTCTAGAGAAAAGATAGTTCAGGTAGGCAAAAAAATCAGGGGAAAACTGAAGCTAGGAGGGAGGCTACATATGCCGGGGCATTAAGATGAGTCGATTAAATGAGACAGAAAACACAGACTGGAGAAAAGCAGAGGGATGGAGGGGTGAGGAGGGTGCACCACGAGCAACATTCTTACATGGGAAAGTGAACACTGATCAGGCACATTTTTTAACAGGTAATTTCTGAATCACTTTGAACTTTGGTTTCCAATGAATTGGAACAGGATGTACGTATTTTTGCCATCAACCCAAGGACTTGAAAATTTGGATCTAAGTTCACACCTAGAAGCACATATATCTCCCTCTGGAAAGGCCCTATTTCCTCAAAGATTAACTCTGTGCCAGAGATGCACAGGGGCAGGTCAATCAGTGAAGAGATAACACACCAACAAGAGACGGCAGTAAGTCCCCATGTGGTTGAAATTAATGGTGGACTTTAGCCATGATTCATGAGCTGGGCACACATGTTCTTGCTGAAGCTTCCAAGAAATCATCTAGCCACAAATAATTAAGCTCACGACTGACTCTGCCTTTCCAAGACACTCCACTGACAGCTCAGTACTTCGTCCCTGGAGACCTGGGTGGAACCTTGGACATCCCGCCCACCTAACCCAGAGCAGGAAGGGCCCATTCTATGCTCTCTGTCACCCTCCTGTGGTGCCCTATGGATCCCCACAGCTTTCCCAAGTTTCCCAGAAGGCCATACTTATTTCAGGCCTGAACAAAATGGGGAGTATGTACTTCAATATTCAAATGTGAGAAGCACTTCTATATGGACTACTTTCTATTTCTGCCTCTGTCAAAGTGATTTCTCATTTTAATCCATGTTTTTGAATTTTTTCCCCATATTTTTAAAATTGGTATTCCATGTTTTTGAAGTACTGAATTACTGGTATTTTTTTCCCTCCAAAATTTTAAGCTAAGTTTTAGAAATAGTTTGCATAGAAATAAAAGTAATCTATTGTGCGTGGGTTAATGCCAGGATGAATCAGGATAGGCCACATCATAGACTAGAAATAGTGACGAGAGGATGGATATTATGCACCTGCCTATTCAGTCCTTCAGCCCATATTTCTGCTTCTCCCATACTGGAAATTCTCAGCAGTGTCAGGATCTGTCTGGGTCATCTTTGCATCGTGAGAATAATTGCTGTGCTCTATGTCTGATAAATGAATAAATGCATGGATAGAAGGGCTGGGCAAGGGCTACGCTATGAGGACCCTCAACTCTGTGCATGTGAAGGACTGAATGGGAGAACTGGAGGGGAGGTGGGATTTCCTTTCTCTGATCCACTGAATAAATCTGTGCCGGTGTCAACCTGGTACCATCTATGGAGAGACCTTGCAAGAAAAGCCTAATGAAATAATGGACTCCCTTAAGGAATAAACTGGAAAGAGCGAGGTTGACCTCCATAATAGAAACAGACAACGCCACGCAGCGCATTGCTAGATAGGAGAATCCGTTTTTTTAAAAGAAGAAAACAAAAACAAATGAAGACAGAAGGCCATTAAATATTCACAAGAATGCAAATGGCAGTCCTCTCTCTTGCTGGCGACTAGAAGGAAGTGCTTATCTTTTATAAAGTGCTCCACTATTAATTAGAAGGCAATAAATAAAAGAACTCACATTCAATTTAAAAAATGAGTCCCAGACTTAATAGACTGTACATTTCACTCCCCACACTGATGTCTAAAAAAAAAAAAAAAAGCCAGAGAATTCTCCAGATCTCCAGGAAGGAGCCTGGCTCATGGAGCTTCATGGAACCAGCCACCAGAGTCCCAGTTCCGGTGCCCTCCTGGTGGGAGGGAACACAGGCAGCCAAGAGAGTCACTCTGGGCCCAAGGAGGGCCTGGATGTGCAGGGCTACGAAGCTGGGTGTGTATTTCACGTCTTGTTCAAATGGCAGAGTTTGAAGAGGAAACAATCTTACCTAAAACACGTCCTTGAAGAAGGATTCGCTGTCTCTTATTTACGTTAGTGTGACCAAAGAATGGATGTGCTTAATTACACATTTAACTAAATGTGAAAACACTTTACCTCTGTTGAATATTTCCTGTTTGCTGAGTGTTCTGATGGGTTTAAAGTACATTTGTATAATTTTACTGCTTTAATCTCTTTAATCTACTTCTGTCTTTTTTTTTTTTTTTGGCTGGGAATTGAACCCAGGGGTGTTTATCCACTGGACCACATCACCAGCCCTTTTATTTCGAGACAGGGTCTTGCTAAGTTGCTTAGAGTCTCAATAAATTTCTGAGCTTGGCTTTGAACTTGTGATCCTTCTACCTGAGCCTCCTGAATTGCTAGGGTTACAGGCATATGTCACCACCCACAGCAGTCTATCTTCTTAAAAAAGCAAAACAAAAAAACTCACTTAAGGTTAGTAATACTAACTTCCCAAGGGTGGGCAGGGAGAGGTGAATGGTAACTAGTGGTATTTACAGTTTGAGGCACTAATTCCACTCCCAGCATCTGTAAACACTTTATCTCCCCAGCCTAATCTTGTTTATATATTAAATTATGTTAGGGAAATTTAAAATGCTTTAAAGATGGTTACATAAACCATTATAATTATTGGGCTTAATATTTTGGGGTAATCATGGGATTCTCTAAATGCAATATGAACTTGAAAATTCGCAGTGGCCCTGACCTATTTCATAGAACTACCTTCTTTCTCTCCTTGGGGCTCAGTCACTTACTGTGTGGCTTTGAGCAAAGCACTTAACTTCTCTGTGTCTGTGTCTCTGGCTGCAAAGACTGCTGTGATGATCCAATGAATTAATTCACATCACAAACTTAGAACAGTGCCAGACAGCACACACGCCCTCTCTGTGTTTGCTCTTTTGTTCTTATTACTATGACTGTGAGGACAGTATCCGAGCACCCTTCCTTTGTCACCAGGCTTAAGGAACACAGCATCTGCCTTTAACACTAGGGAGCAGCAATCTGAAGTCATATTCACTTATGACTCTATTCATTACGTTGTTTAAGGACAGGGACACGTTCTGAGAAATGTACTGTTTGGTGATTTGGTCACTGTGCCAACTTTGCAGAGCTCACCTGCACAGGCTGAGGTGGCTACGACGTCACCAGGAGACTCAACTCCATGGGTCCACTGTCTTAGGTGTGGCCCACTGTAGACCAATACACCATTACGTGGTGGTGTTCTCTGAGGGAATTATTTTCTGTATCTTTGAGTGAGGTGAGTCAGCAGGAAGGGTCAACAGGGCTGTCATCTCCAAGGAGACTGGACAGAAAAGGCTAAAGGGAAAGGTCTGTGGGGCGGTGTTTGTTTTGCATTTAATAAACTCAATAATCACATTACAACCTGCAAATTCATTGTATTTAAAGTATTTCATGATATTTGCTTTATGGTACCATTATTTTCTTTAGTACACACACACACATACACAAACACACACACAAAGAGCTCTGTCATATCTCAAAACAAAAGTTCCTGACAACCCAGCAAGAATCAGAGGAGAAGGTTCGTGAAGTCACGGGGTGACTGTAAGCTCTGGAATGCAGCAGGAGCCTGGGGCTGCTGGCTGCTCTACCAGCGAGAAGGAGCCCAGACTCTGCCTGGTTGCGTGGTCTGGGCCGGGGATCTTGCGTGTATGAGCGATTATAGTTTTCCAAATGGACTCATCCAACCACTGCTTTGCTGTGTGGACTCTTCAAATTTAAAGGGCGCATGAAAAGAATAAGACTGACCATCTGCTTACAGGAAGAGAGTCATGCTGTCCTGAAGAAGCCCCCAGAGGGAAGCTATGGCACTGAGCTTACAGGGCAGGTGTGGAGGAGCAGGTGGGAAGAGAAAGAGGGAGGAAATCCGAAGGAGAGGATTGACCCACATGGGCAGCAGGGGAGACAGGAGGAAGAAAAAGGGCCCCAGCCTTACAGTTCACTTGCTGGTGGGGAAAGGAGAGGGAGTGAGAGCATCCTGGGTTTCCTCTGGTTATGGACTGAGACCAACATGTGGCTCCCTAGCCTCAGGACTCCACAGGCACCCAGGTCTGTCCTGATGCACTGATGGGAGGAGCCAGGGTCCTGTGAGTGACCCTCCCCCCATCAGTGCATCAGGACAATAGCTGCCTATTGCCTTTTCCCCCCAAACTTAAAGGCACAAGAAAGAGTGTTCCCACTAAGAGACTAGATGTCTTGTACATTGAAGTCAGAAGTGTTAGCTGAAAATAACCCTCAACTGGTTGCTCCTGATGAAGTAAGTTCAGGACCCCATGTCCACTACAAAGGCACCAACTTTGGTAATGTGTTGCTATGTACACTGAGAACACCACACTTGACCTGACAAGTCGCTTAGGTAGAGAACAGCTGGGAATGACAGCACATTTTGGAGTTTTGTTTCTTTTGGTTGGGGTAGGGAGAATTCCTCTCCTTTAAAAATATAAAAGCTGGGCATCCTGATGCATGCCTATAATCCCAGCGGCTCAGGAGGCTGACTGAGGCAGAAGGATCGTGAGTTCAAAGCCAGCTTCAGCAACTTAGTGAGTCCCTGAGCAACTTAGTGAGACCCTGTCTCTAAATAAAAAGGGCTGGAGATGTGGCTCACTGATTAAGTGCCTGTGTTCAATCCCTGGTACCAAAAAACAAACAAACAAACAAACGAAGAATAAACAAGATGTTTCATTTCCTCCTAAACATTAGAGCCTATTAAAGCAAACTCCATACTATTTCAAATCACTTTGGATCTAGTGTTTTAAGATCAAGAACTCTGAAGAGCTTAAATATTTTCACTTAAAAACTGGAGTTCTGTTGCAGAGAAATGGGAGCCAGGGTGCGTATTAGGGTATCGTGTAGCCTGGCTGGAGGATGCACCGTCAACCAGTTACAAGGGTAGTGATTTCAGTGAGAAATTGGCTCTCCAACTGCCAAGCTGCTTCTGTGTCCATGGCCAGCATAGGTCTCCTGTTTTGACTGGTTCCTTTCCAGTCTGGAAGGGCGTGATAAGATGAAACTGGCTGGGCCTCCTCAGTTCCTGAACCCTCACCAGCTTCCTTCAGCATCATCAAAATTAGTTCTCAGTGTCAAATTCTCAAGTGGAAAAGTCAGCCTACATTTTCCCTTGAAGTGTCTATTTCTCCAGCAAAGTCAGCGTGGGTGGTCTTTTGGGAGCAGGGTCACTGAAAACCTCCACCAGTGCAGGGCTGTCACTCACTCTTCAGTGGGGTCAGTGCAGCTTTCAAAGGGGCAGTGCAGACCAAGGTCAAGATGAAAGCAGAACCAGTGTGCCAACCACCTCTCTGAGGTTTAGGAGTTGGGTAGAAGTGGCACTTGGGGCAGAAGGACAATCTCTTGTCCCAAAAGGGAGCCGTCACTACTCAGCAAGGGCTATACTGTGCCCTTCTGGAAAAAAAAAAAAAAAACCAAAAACCTAAACATAAAGCTAAATTGACACATTTTAAAAAGTTGGCAATTAATACAAATATTTTAAGACTAGTGTGTGGCCTCATTGTGCCATCAGACAAAACACATCTGTGGACAGTTTGTCCTTCTCTGTGAAAAAGCTCAAAATATGCACCCTGGAGCAGAGAAGGGAGAGGTGGAAAAGGTGGAAGGGGGCATAGGAAGTAAAGTCCCCTGTATACAGCCGGCTCCAAGGGAGGCCTGGCACAATGACAGGCAGAAACCTAGCAGCCAGGGGGCTCTGTAATGTTCCTATGATTTCCAGGGGAGGGAATGAGCCGGCTCCTCTTCTTGGGAGCCTGATCCAGGGAGGGGAGAGGAATGGGGCCTTAGGCGCTCTGAAATCACATGCGATTCAGTGCCCAATAGAAGGCTGTTGCTGGGGAGAGAGTGGTGTCTCCTACCTCATTGACCCTCCGAGAGGCTCTGCCTCCTGTTACCAATAGCAACTCACTTGCGCCTTGCAGGCCTGGCAGCTGGGAGGCTGTCGCCTCTTTCCTGGCGGTCTCCTTCCCTCTCTCGCTGTGCAGGGACTTTCTCTGGTTCACCAGTGTTGCTATGTCATTACCAGATGACTGGTATTAATTAGGACTGCTCCCTGTGTGGTGGTGGTGGGGGGTGAACCTGTGGGTGGGAACATCAGAGCCCCCCCCATTGAGATCTGATCATGAAGTGGCATGAAAAGGGACAAAGGGCTGTCCCTTCCTGGTCTAAGGGGCCAGGATGTGTCTCTAGGAAAAGGATAGGGAGGTCACAAGTGGGCAGGAATCAACCCCAGTGCAAGAGGACTCAGAAACTGAAGAGTTCATTGGGGCAGATACACCACTTCTGCAGGAGGAAGGAGGAAGCCACGATTTTTGTTACAGAATAAGATACACAGGTCTCCACAGATGTATACACGGGTCCCCACAGACGTACACAAGAAAGAAAAAGTCTGACATCTGGCATAACCAGTCATATTCTCTCCAAAACTTTCTGCTGTACCTATGTGTGGCCATAATATTTAAGTAATGCTTTCCTTTGTAATACGTCACCATTTTAAGAATAAGCTAATTAAAAGCAAAGCTTACATCACTGTCCAAAAAAAGAAACCAGTATCACCTGCCATAAAGAGAAAGCAATGGGAAAACCACAAAAAACTACAAATGCTCAAGCACATGCCAGAGAAATCATCTCAGGGGATACCCAGGTGTGTGTGTGTGCATTGTTGAGAAACAGAAGAGAAGTCAGCCACTCTAACAGGCTGACTCTAAATTATCACCCTCTCTGATAAGATGCTCTGTACAACCAGGAAAGACACCACTTGGAGTTATTGATCATACAGCTTTCATGTCATTACTTGGGCTCTACCACCCATTTTACCTAGTAGCTCCTTACCTGGTAGGCAAAGATGTGCTGCACAAATAGCAGGTAATGCAGCTATTATTCTAAGATGAATGACATGTGGAAAGTCACCTACCGCGCCATAGTTATATTAGTTTAATCCATTCAGCAGGACCCAGGGATCCAAGCTCATTCAAGAGAGATATCCAGGAAAACTTCCCCCTTAGATCTGCAGAACACTGAGGACCAAACTCACCACTTCTTAGACTTGAGCCGAGGTGCTGGGTTCCGGGGGATGAGGAAGAGGGCTCTCATGGGGTGCATGTCACAGAGAGCTGCAAGAGACCAAAACAAGGGCCAGCTCTGGTTAGGAGGCTAAAGCCAGGCCAAGTCCATCCTGCAGTGCAACGAATACTGCCAACTGACCCTCTGGGCTCATGCAAGCCCAGTGCAGCCCAGGACAGAGGATCCAAAAGCTTCCATCTGGAAAGCACTTACAAGAGCTGGTATCTAATTAAAAGAACTGCATTAGCCACCACCCCTTTCAAACAGATATGTTAACATTTCTAGGGAATACTCTTACTTCACATTTAAGGAAAATAATTTAAAGTGTCAACAATCTTTGCTGTAAATAACCATCTGACACTCAAAGCACATAGCATTAGATGACAAGTCTAATGAGGACGATTAAGTTTGTTTTTAATTGGCAAAAGCCTAAGCCATAAAATAGAAGGTATTTGATAATCCAAAGTATAGTTTCTTATACATTGAAGGCTCATCCAAGCTCAGTGTGATCTCTGTGGATTTCTGAAGTCCAAAGTACTATCCTAGAACATCATTCACTGTCTCCAGATATCTCAAGTGGCTTTCATGATTTTTTTTGTGGGGGCGGGGGTTGTTTGTTTTTTAAATTCACTGACCCCAGGAAGACCAATGGAGTAAGGCAAATTGAGTCTGGCAGAAAGACCAAGTTACAAAAATATCTCAATGTGTCAACATGAGATTATCTTTTCCAGTGAAAGCTCTCATATAGTCATATTTTAATCAAAATATTTTGTTAGTTTACTTTTCAAACAGCTGGGACTACTTTTTTCTTTGTACCTAGATTAATGCTCCTTAAAAAACAAAGGGTTCTGTGGGTTTATGTTTATTTTTAGCCCACCTACTACATATCAAGAATGATAATAGTTTTAAGTCTGTGGTATATTGCTTTTCTGATTCATAAATGCCCATCAACATTGTGAATGAGAGGAATTGTGTCAACAAATACTCCCAATCAATCATGGGACAGATGAAATCAACCAAATCAGGATTGAGAAATAAGAAGACTATGATAACATGAAGGTAAACAGCTATGAATACAATGACCTGTCCATTGGGTGAGAAGGATGGTTTGGAACTGGTCCTTTCAGAAGCAGATACCAAGGTGACATTAAATATGCAAGGATACTAATGGAGAAAGTTCCAGTGGGAAGGGAATTAGAATTAGGGAGGGACCCAGGAAGGATGGGCAGGGTCCTCTGGTGGCTCTGCAAGTCTGACTGCCCTGCAATCCAAGGCAGGTGAGCAAAGTCACAAGGGGTTGCTTTGAGCCTCAGGGGCCTAAAAGAAATCTTGTCTTCCAGGAAAAGGTGTGCCTTCTTGTTCCCAGACATGCTTGGTCTCTGATGGGGAGCGGCCCTTGGGAGAGGCAGGCTCAGCACCATTCTGGCAGCATGGAATGGCATCACCTGTTTGGAAGCCTGAGAGGTACATTCTCATGGCCACCACACAGCAGATAGCAATGTTTTGCCATACCAGTTGTGCCAGATATTAAGGAACTCGAGAAGGTCTCAGGATTGCCAGAGTCCTGACCATCTTGCCTCAAATAAGGGCAGGAAAGTCTAAAAATCTAAACATTAATAAAGTTAGAGTTGCCTAGTATGATGGCACATGCCTGTCATCCCAGCTACTCAGGAGGCTGAGGCAGGAGGATCACAAGTTTGAGGCCAGCCTGGGCAACCTAGTGAGACCCCCCCACATCTCAAAATAAAATGAAAAGGTTGAGGGTGTAATTCAATGGTAGAATGCTAGCCTTGCATGGGTGAAGTCCTGGTTCAATGTACAGTTGTTGTAAAAAAAAAAAAGGCAGCAATAGAATATAAGTGTTTGTATAACCTGGCCCTGAAAAACCAGCTTTTGAATTTTTTGTATGTTGGAGCTTATAGTCTTTGTGGGTTGCTCACAGTTTTATGTTAGGTGACGAGAAGTTCGAGAATAAACTACACACCAAATCTGTAAGACAAATAAGACTCTCAGAGTTTGCTTTCTTTTTTTTTTTTTTTCATCATGGAGACAAGATCCTCACGCTGCTCTGAAATGAACGGATTCCTGGTTAATTTAAGATGACTCTGCTTTCTAAATATGCCAGCTCGAATCCATGCAGGGCTCAGCGTAGCAGAAGTAAAGCAACTGCAGCTCCTGGCAAGGAACTTCAGTCCCCACAGCGTGGACCAGCAACAGATTCCACCCCAGAGGAGGATACTTACGGGGAGCACCTTCTGCCATCTCAATGGCGGTGATTCCCAAAGACCACAAGTCACTCTGAAAAACAAGGAAGGTACAGACACGTGCATAAATTCAGTCAACAAAGGAACACTTACTTAAACCTGGGAATGGCTTGAGAGCTGCCTGTGGGAAAATCCTTCAGTTGTCCTGCTTACCAACTTCATCCCCCCAACCAAGCTCCAAGGTGAGAAGGCCCTCGTTCACTTATTTACTGATGATACTTTGCATGATGCTTAACTCAGGGTCAGTTTTCAACAAATATATGGTAAATGAATATAAGGTTTTAAAAATCAACTTATCACCGAAATTCATCTGTCAATGGAACCATATGAAGTTACTGCTATTTCTTCTGAACATCTTTACTGAATTCTAATTGTCATGAAACAAACTGCACATTCATAAAGTGTGCCATCTAATAAGGTATGACACATGAATACTCTCGGGATCCCATCACCCCAATCAAGATGGTAAACATACCCATCACTCCCCAAAGATCCCACTTGCCCTTCTATATTGTAGTCCCTGCTATCTATGGCCCCACTCCACCATCCATAGGCAACCACTGATCACTTTTCTGTCACTACGAATTAGTCTGCATCTTCCAAAGTCTTCTATTAAGAGTCACGTAAGATAACGCCTTTTGCAATCAGTTTGTTTCACTTAGCATAATGTTTTGAGGTCCACCCTTGTAGCATGTATCTGTACCTCACTCCTTTTTATTTTCTCAGTAGTATTCCATTGGGTGGACATAGTGCAGTTTGCTTTCAATGGTTGACAGACATTTGTATTGTTCCCAGTTTGAGCTAGTCAATACAAAGGTGTGCATTTTTATTTCTTTTGAGAAAATAGACAGGAGTGGAACACAGCTGGATCAGATAGTAGGTTTATCTATTTCCAATGGTTTTTAACCTGCAAGACATCCCCCATGTTTTTTAATTAGATGAGGACAGAGAGACTTTGAGGATGCTTTTTACTTGTTTCTTCCTAGTGTTTAGAAGAGAGTTTGGAACAGTTGTAGGTGCTCAATACATTTGTATAAGGATGAAATATCCTCCTTCTTGTAAGTAGACTATCATTTGAAATAAAGATCTTTGTGTGTGTGTGTGTGTGTGTGTGTGTGTGGTGCTGGGGATTGAACCCAGGGCCTTGTGCATGCGAGACAAGTATGCTACCAACTGAACTATATCTCCAGCTCTCAAATAGAGGTTTTTATACCCTTATATTCTTGCTTATGCTCAGACTGATTTTATGCTCTGATCAGCATTTTCTAGACCAATGATTCCCCTTTAACTGTGCGGCCTCCATCTCTAACAATATGCTTCTCCCACACTCCATGTCTATGGCTCAGTGGTCTCTGAAGATGGCAGAAGAGGGGGTCAAATCAAGAAATGGGGAAAACCAGGTTAGGAAACCTCAAACAGATAATTGCTGCATTTGTTTCCCAGCAGATGGGTTGGAAAACCTAACAGAAAATTTGGTTCAGTGGCCCACATCCTGATATAGTCTCACCCTCCTTGCATTTTAAATACATTATGCATTGTGTATATTATTCAAAACCTCACCTGCAACCTCACTGAGATCAGAGAGACCAAAGTTAAGTTTCCTTATATTCCCATCAAACAAATGTCATGGGTCCATAAAACACATGTAACTGAAGAGGACCATGAAACTCATACTGAGTCATTCCCTACAACTAAATTTCTCAGTATCCTGTGAGTGACCCCCAGGCCTGTCCAGTGTTGGAGCTGAGGCCTACACAATGTGATGAGGACTTTCCAGGGCACTGGCCTCTTGCCTAGCATGCCATCTACTTTACCACAGGTGCTGGGCACACATGAACCACACATGAGGACGTAAGTGGTAGATTCTTTGCCTGTCACCAGTTGTCAGATCGATACCATTGTCGTTGGGTGCCAGGTAACTTCTCTGCTTTCAGCACTGCTCAAGAAGGTAGCTCGTACCTTCTTGCTATGTTTCAAGAAGGATTCAGAGGTTTCAGAATCACGTACACCCCCAGTGAGTGCACAGTCTCGCAAAGGACTGTGTTTCCCACGGGCTTTTGGCCTTGCTCAGGAGAACATTTCCAGAGCTAAAGGGGAAGGCCTGGCCCACCTGTCACAGGCTGGCACAGGAGCAGTAACTGGTACAGAGGGAAATAGCTCACTTATATGTGGGGTGTTATGGTTGGTAGACAAAGACAGTTGTTCAGGAGCCTGATGCAAACACTGAGTCACTCTGTGCAGGAGGCATCAGGCAGGAAACAGTGAGAATTGTCTGGAAATGGAGGGTCAGCTCCAAAGGTCCCTGTGCTATTTTGATCGGCAGGCCTTGGCAGTTCTGCCAGCATGTGTCCAGTATCCCTAGAAACTGCAGCATGAAATGAGGTGCAAGCAGGATGGAGGAGGCCAGGCTCTGCCCCCTGACTGCCACAGCAGAGTCAAACGCAGATGGCCTCCAAGTTTAGGAGACTGAACTGGCTGAACAGCCCACATGTCTGAAAGAGAACATGCTGGTCTGGCAAGGGGAGGGCTCCAGAGCTTGCCTCAGGTGGGGCAGAAAATGCACAGAAAACCCAGCACTCTCCTGCCTTTGGGTCTGTGTTCAAGCTCATCTCTGGGCCAGCAGCACCTCCCAGTGACCTGCAGGCTGCCTGACTCCCCTCCATGAGGTCTTCCTTTAAGTCCTATGTCCTCCCCCAGTGCTGTCCATCCCCTGCCTTTCCCAGGACAGTCCCCCCATAAACTGTCTCTTTCTAATATGCTGTGTGTTTACTCACAGCTAATTGACTGTGCTTTGTGTTTATGGTTTGTGCCCCATGCCCCCAGCACACGCATGTGTACACTCCCCGTCACAAGAACATAAGGCCTACAGGACAGGGATCTTCATTTTGTTGACTTATGTATTCCAAGTACCTAGAACACGAGAGAAGGATGCAGAGCCTGAGTGGTCTGAGGGCTGGCAGGACCTTGGTAGACCTTCACATCCAACCTTGTACTTCACAGCTGGGGAAAGCGACAGAGCCAAGATCATAGTGCAAAGAAGCACCAACATTTTTCAACAGAGCTGGGTCTCCTGCCTTCCAGGCCAGTCCTCTATTACCAAAGAGAAGAGCATGCATACTTTTTTTTTTAAGTCAGGGGTCCATAAAATAATCCTTCCAGATTCCTACTTCACAGGTGACTGAATGTGCTGGCAACTCAATGAAGGTGTTAAGATACAGTGAAGCACCCCAGTTCCATGCTACGAAACTGGCCTCATTCTTCAAGGCAACATAGGTTGGCTTTTCAGTCAGACAGATCTGGATTTAAATCTGGGTTCCTAATTTAGCTACCCACAGAATGCTGCTTAGAGTTTAGCTTTCTCAGCTGTATAAAAGAGGTAACTGACACGCATATGTTCAGGTATGCTCCCGGGCACAAAACCTGGCACACACTGAAGCTCAAGAGTATCGATTTCCTTCTCCTCTAAAGACTGCCTCTGTCTGCGCGGTTTAGTCTTCTGTGATTACCCTCCATCTGGCTGTGGCTTACCCAACAGGCACTTTCAGCCCCTATTTTCATTGCTGTCTCTATTTCAGAGAATAGGAGAGCTACACTTGGTCTATCCTGACTCTCCTACAAGTTATGGATCTGACACAGTTATAGCCAATGAGACATAAACAGCCATCTTCAGAGAGCTTCCACTTTTCCCAAAAATAGGGAACTAACACAGCTTGTGTCCTGCCAACTCATCCCCACTTCTTTGTGCCTTGAATCAAAACATGGTATCTGCAGCTACAGCATCCATCTTGCATTCATGAAGCAATAAGCTGACAAGTCATTGTTGACAGGGTAGAAATGAAGGAACCTAGAGTTCTAAAGACATTGATGAGCACCATGTCAATCTTGGAGTACCTGCATCTAAGCTTCTGGGGATGGAAGAAACACAAATACATATATACAGCCAAAGGCATTCCTAAATGATAATGCATATACAGCAATAAAAAAAAAAAAGAAAGCAGATTTTGACAATAGGGGAATAGGACGTCTCACTTGTTAAGTGATCCTGGATCCATTCTACTAGAAGCAGGGAGGGTCACTGAAGACATGTCTCTCTTGGGCAGCCTGCCCCCAATCCACAAATACTCCCCTTTAAATCAGAAGCTACTCCATTCCAACTCCCTGCATCCTAGGTTTTTCATATGACCAGGCCAGCTACTGCGGCTTCTTTTAAGTTTTCATTTCATATCACTGTTAGGATCTCTTTTTCTTTTGCTGGGGTTTCCTTCTTTTCCAAAAGGAACATTTATATTATTGGCCATACATACCCAAAGTTGCTTGTAAGCTATGCTTAACTGCCGTGCTCGGAAGCCTTAAATGTCCTTGACGGGCCTTGTATAAGCCCTCGGATACATTAGCAAGTCCCAAAGACACTTCAGAAGTTAAATATGGGAGAAAATATTCCAATTACCACTGGTAAGACAGATCACAGGAGACAAGAAAGGGAAGAGGGAGGAACAAGATAGGAGAGAGTCAGGAAGAGATAAGTTTCTTTCATGGCCATGGCGTGACTCATTTTGGCAGGAGCTGGGTAATTCATTATTCCAGAGGTGCTGGCTGCGTAGCCTGGCCCGTGGCATGATTAATAGACCAGTGCTGTGTGCATTACAAACAGAATGGGGACACATTCTGGTGGCTCTGGGGAGGCAGACATAAGACACAATTTCTGGTTGGGAGCTGGGGACAGCGGCACACTGGCAGCTTGAACAGAAAAAGAGAGCGTTCCTTCTGGGCTGGGCTGCCAAACAGTGCAGAGCAGCAATCTCAGAAGGCCAAACCAGCCACACAAGGAAAGGGAGGCCATCTGAGGAAAGATCCCAATTTCCTCAGCTGTAAGGTGAATAAATATATCCTTCAGGGCTGGTGTGAGAATTCAGTAAGATAATATACACCAAGCACCTAATAGTGCAGTGCACACAGTTGGTGTTTAACAGAAAAGGGTGCAGACAGATCCTTAGGCCAGTTATTATCAAAAGGCAGCTCAGCCACTAAACCTGA